ATGACTGGAGGGGAAGTATAGATTTTCCATTGTTTATAATTTCTATTTTTTTTATAATTTTAGAGTAACTTTTATTCAGTTAGCTTTTGTAACTAACTCTTTCATTATATTTCTAAAAAAAATGCAATATTGTCGATAATATAAACTTTTGTAATAAAGAAATGTCATCAGTTACTAAATAAACAAAAGAGAATGAACCCACCCACTAGAGTGGTATTTCTTGTAAAAAGTGTGACGTACGCAAAAATTTGAAGACCTATTCATTTTTTTTGGTAAAGTACATTTCCAGTTAATCAGGCTTAAAATGACATTAAATGGCTTCTTTACGAAAAATGCTATTTAATACTGCAGTTAAATGCAATGATGACAACATTTGGATATCGAAAGTAGGAAGGCAGCCATTTTTGCTTTGTAAAGTACATACAGAACAATAATCATCTAAAAGTATCTTCCACAAGTATCAGCCCTTTGTCGATATTTTTTAGCCTGAGAGTAACATATTTTGCAAAAGGGCCAATTTTTAGGCATATTTTATTAATTCCTTGACTAAGTTCTTTTAAATGTCAAATTTTAATTCCCCAACGATCAGACGAGCTACACTTTGGCAGCCATAATAAGACGTGCTAGGCTTGGGCAAGCGGGTTTTGTGGTACGTGCAAGTGTTGTGTTTGCTCCGTATTTTATATGATTTCAATGCGAAAAATTGGACAGAATAATCAGGTAATTTTTAATTAACTTCGTAAGTGTTCCATTTAGCTGTTTAAATAACGAGAAGGCCCGTAAAAGTTACGTTTGTTGGTTAAATAAGTGAAAATGTAATTCGGCTTTGCATAGTAGTGTAGAGTGTAAACCCGCCATGTTGTTGCATTATTGCGAGAGAAATTCTCACGAAAAACCTGACTCCAGACGAAAAAATCCGATTTCTGTATGTATTTATGTTCATATTTTTTGTTTGATTTAGGTTAATATGTATTTTCCCGCGTATATGCCACAAAACCAAAGCAGTCCTCACGTAAGGTAACCATTGGTTATCTGGCGATGTAAAAGATGCCCAGGCGGCTAACTTTAACTGTGATCCATCCAAGGTCTTGTTAACTTTTATATTACAACCATTAAATTGCTCCAGCTACCTAAAATCTACTAGAAATTTACCAAAATTCATGTTTTGTAACCACAAATTGACAGACTATATTCACAATAAAGTTTCGCATGTACTTTCAATGTTTTATTTAATTTACAAACGTTGACTTGCAGGATTAATGATTGCCTTAGGGTTCTGGCCTCACATTACACTATTCTAATTGAAACGAAAACCTATTTGTTTGTAGTTTGTGTCGATGCATGGTGTACCATTTAGTTGACTAGTGAATGGAACAGTGATACTGAATTATTTTACAGATACAGTGTGCTATGTTAACATTAAGGTATTGATATGCTCTTAGAGCATGGAAAGTACTATACCATTTGCTCGCTTTGGGGCCAGCTGACTTAACAGGTCAAGGACAGCATTTTTAAACATTGTACATTATTTTGGTAAGTCTAAGAAAACAATTTTTATGTATTTATCATTAAATAGTACATATTCTTTAATGTGGCCTTACTATTCTGTAATCATAATCTAAAATACTGTTTTTATAGTTAATGATATAACACAATTTGATGAAATATCTATAGTTCCGAGACATGCTGTGGTCTTATATGAATAAAACTATAAAAAATGTTAAAAGCAATATTTGTAATAAGATGATTACAGAAATATTAAGTATAAAGACTGCTTAATATCCAACATGTGCTAAATGAAACTATGATTATTAAAAAATGAGTTAAACGATGGTGGTGTGTTAAAAAGGATATTTTATTTTAGGGGAGAGTCTTTTGACAAAATGCAACAAGTTGAAACACCGATTCAGAATAATGCGGTAAGTCTGGCTCTTTAGAGTGTTATTTAATTTGTCAGTATTGGCTAACACTATGAAATTAGAGCCCCACAAAGGCCACCGACGACAGGGAGCCTCCACCCCGAGTAGATGTGCCCCTTGAACCGGTAAATGGTGTGGTTCAGCCCCCCGTCCATCCACCTCCCAATCGGCCAGGCAGGGTCACTAACCAGCTGCAATTCCTACAAAAGACCGTTCTTAAAGCAGTATGGAAACATCAGTTTGCCTGGCCCTTCCATCAACCCGTTGACGCCAAAAAACTCAATCTACCCGTAAGTATTTTTCACATTTTTAGCCCGACATCGTATAGGATCCCTTCTTTTCTTCTTTCTAGGACTACCATAAAATAATTAAGAACCCAATGGATCTGGGGACAATAAAGAAGCGCCTGGACAACAACTACTACTGGTCAGGCAAGGAGTGTATCCAGGACTTCAATACGATGTTCACCAATTGTTATGTGTACAACAAACCCGGCGAGGATGTGGTTGTGATGGCTCAGACCCTGGAGAAAGTCTTCTTGACAAAAGTCGCTGATATGCCTAAAGAGGAGTATGTGATCGATCCTCCAGCCAAGGGAATCAAGGGAAAGAAAGGCAGAGTTGCGGGCACGCCAGGGGTCGGCGCAGGACGCGGACGACCACCAGCGGTCAGTTCTACCGTCGCCACACCAACAACTGCCCCTTCAACTGGTATAAAATAAATTCTAATAATAAAGAAAGGGGTTTCTGACGCCTTGTTTTATGTTGTAGCGTTACCGTTGGGTACTCAAGCGCCCGCGACAGTTCCTGGCAGCACTGCCACCACCACGATTGCGCCTACGACCCCCGTAACACACAGTAACCTGCCCCAACAGCTGGCTCAGCCCACGGCCGGCTATCACGTCGCCCAACCCCTGGCCAACCCTCTGGAACCGTCAAACCTCGCTCCTAACGTACTCCCTGGAAACGTGATGCCTCCCGCTCAACCTGCAAAGGTATTTAAAGAATTTTTTGGGGGAAAAGTTGCCATTATTTATGTTATTTGAGACTATTTCTATTTTTGTGTTGTTTCAGGTAAAAAAAGGTGTAAAAAGAAAGGCGGACACAACGACTCCGTCGGCGACGGCGTTTGAGTACAACACTCCAATGGAGTCCAAGTCGGCGAAGATATCGACGCGTCGGGAATCGGGTCGACAAATAAAGAAACCAATCAGGGCCGAATTAGACGGCTTGGTGCCCTACAATCAGGCCAACATTTCACCTTTAATGAACATGAATGCGTCCCAACAGCAGCACGCGTCGCACAAGTCCAAAGACAAGTTGTCTGAGGCGCTCAAGTCCTGTAACGAGATACTCAAGGAGCTCTTTTCCAAAAAGCTTTCGGTAAATCATTTTATTTATTTATTCATATAATGTTTACTAATTGTTTAAAATCAATAATTAAGCTTTGTAATTATCAAAGTAAATGGCAAAAATAGTAACAATAATTAAAGTTATTATTATCTAGTGTCAATTTACAATAAACTGGCTTAGTTTTGTTAACAATAAAAATATTTAAATCATTTCCTGTTCAATTTTTCATATGATTTTTGAAGGTAAATGTAAGCGGTTGGAGATATCTAGATATTTCATTAAAAAAATTTCAGGCAATACTTAACATTGCTTTGTGTTTTAGACTTATGCGTGGCCATTCTATAAGCCTGTGGATGCAGAATTGTTGGGGTTACACGATTACCACGACATAATAAAGAAACCGATGGACCTGGGAACTGTTAAACAAAAGATGGACAACAGGGAGTACCGTACCGCACAGGAGTTTGCAGCGGACGTGCGGCTGATCTTTACCAACTGTTACAAGTACAATCCTGAAGATCATGACGTTGTTGCAATGGCGCGAAAACTGCAGGACGTCTTTGAAATGAAGTAAACAGTCTGCTATTAAATAATGATTTATTCTCTAATGAACGAATTATTTCTGTAGGTTCGCAAAGATTCCAGACGAGTCCCTTCAGAGGGTGGGAGGCAGTTCATCGACCAAGTCAGATTCTAGTTCATCAGGCTCAAGTTCAGACTCATCCAGCGACACAGAAGACTCAGAAGAAGAGAGGCGGAACAAACAATTGAAAATGTTGGAAAAAGAAGTGAGTTGCACAAGATTTCAGTAACAATTGTTAATTATTAAATAATATTTATTTATTCATTTGTAGTTGATAGCGATGCAAGAAAAGATGCGCAAGTTGGTGGAGGAAAGCGGGAAAAAGAAGAAAGCGAAAAAGAAAGCAAAAGAAATAGAGAAGAGCAGCAAAAAGATGGTAGCAAATAGTAGCGCATCCGCGGGAGGCGGAGGTGGCGGTCTCGGTAAGCCCGGGGGCGCGTCTCTAAACAAGTCGAATAACGTAATGTCGGACAGCGTCGACGACAGCATAGCCAGCGTGGTTTCGGGGGCGGATATGAAGATGGGCGGGGGGGTCGGCGGCGTGGTCGGCGACGTCCATCATCACACGGCCGCCGGCAAGTCGCTCAACATGCACCACCACCTTCATTCATTGGCGACGGGGGCCAATGCCGCCGCGGTTGCGGGAGGCCCCGCTGCCGCGGCAGCTTCTAAACCCGTCAAAAGCAAAGGTGAACACTACATGCAAAAAGACAACTAGAGTCGCGCACTTTCAGGTTTTCTGTAAATAATTAAAAATTACATATTTTTTTTTTTTATTTGTAATTCTTAGGTACAGTTTGGTAGTTTTTGATGTTCAGTTAAGTTAGAAGACTGTAGGGAAGTCCGCATTACAAAAAAAAATTTAAAGCTCCTTAATAGTGTTTAACTGATTGAATTTGTTTTTGAAATTGTTGTTGCTGTGTTCATTTATCACATTTAAGACTCCGAAAAACACAAAAATGCTGTTATTAATTTCTTCGCGGATGAGGGGATTCTTTTTCACATTTTTGCTTTGCAATGTCTTACTGGAATGGTTTTTCTTTTTTGTGTGCACAGGTGTGAGGGGACCGAAGCCAGCGCAGGGTAACGCAGCGTCCAAGAGACAGAAGGCAAACAATAAGACTGGCGCCGGACGTAAGAAATCGGCGGCGCAAGCCCCCGCACTTGCCTTCGACTCTGAGGACGAGGACAATGCGAAACCAATGTCCTACGATGAGAAACGACAACTTTCATTAGACATCAACAAACTGCCAGGTAAGACCGCCCTGTCTTCTTTATAATTACAGAAAAATATTAATTCTTTATAATCATCATTTTTCTGAAGTAATTACAATTTCTTTGATTATTTATGTTGTATTGTTTTAATAATTATGTTAAATTGATATATAGGTGACAAATTGGGGCGTGTAGTGCACATAATACAGTCGCGAGAGCCGTCGTTACGTGATTCGAATCCGGATGAAATCGAGATCGACTTTGAGACGCTCAAGCCGTCCACGTTACGAGAACTGGAGAGCTACGTAGCGTCGTGTCTACGCAAAAAGCCACGTAAGCCCTACTGTAAGTTCCCGTTACTTAACGTCGGACGTGCCGGCACAATCTGCGTCACCAGAGCACCGGTGGTTGCCCCTTGCCCCCCTCTAAACTATTTTACAATTTGTTATGCCTTTATAGTTTTATTTAAGTGTGTCTAGAAAAATAAACGAAATAGGGGGGCACGTAGCAGACGTTGTAATTGGAACTACACATTTCTAAGCATGGTAGACTCGACCTTGACTATTGGAAAGTAAAGTAATAAGCTGGGTGCTATGTTTTCCTATTTTTTTTTTTTTTAATTAAGGTGGAGGTGACGGTAGAAGTGGGTGGCTTTTCTATGCCTTTGTGGTATTTGGGAGTAAACTGCTTCTTTATTTAATAATTGTAATCTTGATTACAGTTTTTCCAAACATTTTTGCCCTCAGATACCATTGAAAATAATAGGCAAGCTTGTTGGTGTTTTTTGCTTCCTTTTATGAAATAAATTTGAAGGATTTATTATTAAAGGATTTGTTATTAAAATCAGTAAACGCATGTCGATGTGTTTAATAAGTTAGAATGATCCATATATCAAAATTTTATTGTGCATGATAATATCGAAATTTTTTGTCGTGGGACAAAGTGAATAAGTAACGAAAGGGGTATATTTTAAGTCTAACGCTTTACAGCATGCTCTACCAGTTTAATGCGTGTTATTTCTAATTGTTACTGGTTATCTGGTGAAGGGGAACGTTAATTTAGGCATTCATTAAGTAATTAATTAGCAACGTATGCACATATAAAATGATCACTGGATTAAAAAAAGAAAAGGTTAAAAATAATCTTTGGTTTCATGCTTTGTCTTGGCTAAAATTAAACTTACGAACGACGAAATCTAACCAGAAGAGTTCGTCGTTATCGTTTTTTGCTACGAAACCGTAAGAGGAACATTCAGCGGTGATTGTTTTATATTTGTTGATAATTTTCTGAATTGGACGGTACCCTTATAAATCTCGTTGCAGATAAAAAGATGCCGGGCAAGTCGAAAGACGAGCAGATAGCGGAGAAGAAGCAAGAGTTGGAGAAGAGACTGAACGACGTTAACGATAAAATAGGCAATACAAAGAAGACGACAAAGAAAGGTCAGTAAAAAATTAGAAATGTTTGCTGTTCGGTACGTAAAATATCGCTTGTGCCTTTCAGAAGAGGCTAGCAAAGTGGATCCAGCGGGAGCTGGCGGTCCCACCGGTCGCCTGTCCTCCAGTTCGAGCAGTTCGGACACGGACAGCAGTACGTCGAGCATATCGAGCAGCTCGTCGGACTCCAGCGACAGCGAAGCAGGTTAGCTCTCACCACTACTACTACTCACCCACAACAACCATTGCGGTGATAAGTTGTTGAACGCCATTAAAAGTTGACACAAGTAATAGTATAAAACAATGAGTACGTCAACAACGCCACACATACACACACGATACACACAGAAAAGACCATTTCCTTGTTTCCTCCCTGCCTATTTAAGAGATCGACCCCTTCGATTCTATGGCAACGATTATTGTTAACTAGGTACTACTCATTTGGTTTCGTTGTCATTTTTATCTCTCCTCCCGTTATTAGCCGCCTGATTTCACGGTAGAAATTGTTGCTTGTCGGGGTTGAGACGTAAAAGTAGACGTAGAGACGGAGTGTGTGCGTAAAAACATGGGCGTGAGACAGTCGTCGCAAAAAGTCCTCTTTTTTCCTCTCATTCTGGTTTTTGTCTTAAAAAGGTAGAGCGCGCTGTTGTACGAATTTTGAATAGGCAATATAATATAATTTTTATGTATATGAAGTGCCATGCACGTCGCGTTGTTATTCTTTATTCCATTTTATCCTTCATATTAATTATATTACTGCGATTAATAAATGATAAGTCTAAAAAGAACGATCGTGTTTAATTTATTTTAATGTAATCTCGAATGATGTTTGCGAGTAGATTTTTCGTTCGTTGTGGTTGAATGAGAAGTGCAAATTTTACTTTCCTCTTTTAATTGGGTACCATACATGTATAATATAAAGAAATCCGTACAAACACAATTACGTACGTATATTAATAAGAGATTTGCAAAAGAGATGTACATATACATATAATATCATCGTTCCATTAAGCGATTAAAAAGGTATTTATAATGTAAAGTAATTATTACGAAGTAGTGGCCGAGTTTCAACGTTTGTTCTTTTCTTTTGGCTTTAACGATTAAAAACATTACGGAAATTCCGCCTAACGACTTGTTATTAATTAGTATCCGATTACCCCCCCCCTTTTTTTTAAACTAAATACTTTTTTGCATATAAACGCCTGATCGCAAGGGTGTAACTAGGCTCGCTCCATCAGTCAGTTCACATTTTCACCCACCCATCGAACAATTTTGCACCCACACACATACACACACACACATGCATTAGTTACGTATAACCACACCCCACATAAATGTGTATATATATATATATTTCTGTTTCATCGCTAAAAAAAAATGACAAAAAGAACAGGTNAACTAACTTTTTCCTTATATTTCTAAAAAAAATGCAATATTGTCGATAATATACACTTTTCTAATAAAGAAATGTCATCAGTTACTAAATAAACAAAAGAGAATGAACCCACCCACTAGAGTGGTATTTCTTGTAAAAAGTGTGACGTACGCAAAAATTTGAAGACCTATTCATTTTTTTTGGTAAAGTACATTTCCAGTTAATCAGGCTTAAAATGACATTAAATGGCTTCTTTACGAAAAATGCTATTTAATACTGCAGTTAAATGCAATGATGACAACATTTGGATATCGAAAGTAGGAAGGCAGCCATTTTTGCTTTGTAAAGTACATACAGAACAATAATCATCTAAAAGTATCTTCCACAAGTATCAGCTCTTTGTCGATATTTTTTAGCCTGAGAGTAACATATTTTGCAAAAGGGCCAATTTTTAGGCATATTTTATTAATTCCTTGACTAAGTTCTTTTAAATGTCAAATTTTAATTCCCCAACGATCAGACGAGCTACACTTTGGCAGCCATAATAAGACGTGCTAGGCTTGGGCAAGCGGGTTTTGTGGTACGTGCAAGTGTTGTGTTTGCTCCGTATTTTATATGATTTCAATGCGAAAAATTGGACAGAATAATCAGGTAATTTTTAATTAACTTCGTAAGTGTTCCATTTAGCTGTTTAAATAACGAGAAGGCCCGTAAAAGTTACGTTTGTTGGTTAAATAAGTGAAAATGTAATTCGGCTTTGCATAGTAGTGTAGAGTGTAAACCCGCCATGTTGTTGCATTATTGCGAGAGAAATTCTCACGAAAAACCTGACTCCAGACGAAAAAATCCGATTTCTGTATGTATTTATGTTCATATTTTTTGTTTGATTTAGGTTAATATGTATTTTCCCGCGTATATGCCACAAAACCAAAGCAGTCCTCACGTAAGGTAACCATTGGTTATCTGGCGATGTAAAAGATGCCCAGGCGGCTAACTTTAACTGTGATCCATCCAAGGTCTTGTTAACTTTTATATTACAACCATTAAATTGCTCCAGCTACCTAAAATCTACTAGAAATTTACCAAAATTCATGTTTTGTAACCACAAATTGACAGACTATATTCACAATAAAGTTTCGCATGTACTTTCAATGTTTTATTTAATTTACAAACGTTGACTTGCAGGATTAATGATTGCCTTAGGGTTCTGGCCTCACATTACACTATTCTAATTGAAACGAAAACCTATTTGTTTGTAGTTTGTGTCGATGCATGGTGTACCATTTAGTTGACTAGTGAATGGAACAGTGATACTGAATTATTTTACAGATACAGTGTGCTATGTTAACATTAAGGTATTGATATGCTCTTAGAGCATGGAAAGTACTATACCATTTGCTCGCTTTGGGGCCAGCTGACTTAACAGGTCAAGGACAGCATTTTTAAACATTGTACATTATTTTGGTAAGTCTAAGAAAACAATTTTTATGTATTTATCATTAAATAGTACATATTCTTTAATGTGGCCTTACTATTCTGTAATCATAATCTAAAATACTGTTTTTATAGTTAATGATATAACACAATTTGATGAAATATCTATAGTTCCGAGACATGCTGTGGTCTTATATGAATAAAACTATAAAAAATGTTAAAAGCAATATTTGTAATAAGATGATTACAGAAATATTAAGTATAAAGACTGCTTAATATCCAACATGTGCTAAATGAAACTATGATTATTAAAAAATGAGTTAAACGATGGTGGTGTGTTAAAAAGGATATTTTATTTTAGGGGAGAGTCTTTTGACAAAATGCAACAAGTTGAAACACCGATTCAGAATAATGCGGTAAGTCTGGCTCTTTAGAGTGTTATTTAATTTGTCAGTATTGGCTAACACTATGAAATTAGAGCCCCACAAAGGCCACCGACGACAGGGAGCCTCCACCCCGAGTAGATGTGCCCCTTGAACCGGTAAATGGTGTGGTTCAGCCCCCCGTCCATCCACCTCCCAATCGGCCAGGCAGGGTCACTAACCAGCTGCAATTCCTACAAAAGACCGTTCTTAAAGCAGTATGGAAACATCAGTTTGCCTGGCCCTTCCATCAACCCGTTGACGCCAAAAAACTCAATCTACCCGTAAGTATTTTTCACATTTTTAGCCCGACATCGTATAGGATCCCTTCTTTTCTTCTTTCTAGGACTACCATAAAATAATTAAGAACCCAATGGATCTGGGGACAATAAAGAAGCGCCTGGACAACAACTACTACTGGTCAGGCAAGGAGTGTATCCAGGACTTCAATACGATGTTCACCAATTGTTATGTGTACAACAAACCCGGCGAGGATGTGGTTGTGATGGCTCAGACCCTGGAGAAAGTCTTCTTGACAAAAGTCGCTGATATGCCTAAAGAGGAGTATGTGATCGATCCTCCAGCCAAGGGAATCAAGGGAAAGAAAGGCAGAGTTGCGGGCACGCCAGGGGTCGGCGCAGGACGCGGACGACCACCAGCGGTCAGTTCTACCGTCGCCACACCAACAACTGCCCCTTCAACTGGTATAAAATAAATTCTAATAATAAAGAAAGGGGTTTCTGACGCCTTGTTTTATGTTGTAGCGTTACCGTTGGGTACTCAAGCGCCCGCGACAGTTCCTGGCAGCACTGCCACCACCACGATTGCGCCTACGACCCCCGTAACACACAGTAACCTGCCCCAACAGCTGGCTCAGCCCACGGCCGGCTATCACGTCGCCCAACCCCTGGCCAACCCTCTGGAACCGTCAAACCTCGCTCCTAACGTACTCCCTGGAAACGTGATGCCTCCCGCTCAACCTGCAAAGGTATTTAAAGAATTTTTTGGGGGAAAAGTTGCCATTATTTATGTTATTTGAGACTATTTCTATTTTTGTGTTGTTTCAGGTAAAAAAAGGTGTAAAAAGAAAGGCGGACACAACGACTCCGTCGGCGACGGCGTTTGAGTACAACACTCCAATGGAGTCCAAGTCGGCGAAGATATCGACGCGTCGGGAATCGGGTCGACAAATAAAGAAACCAATCAGGGCCGAATTAGACGGCTTGGTGCCCTACAATCAGGCCAACATTTCACCTTTAATGAACATGAATGCGTCCCAACAGCAGCACGCGTCGCACAAGTCCAAAGACAAGTTGTCTGAGGCGCTCAAGTCCTGTAACGAGATACTCAAGGAGCTCTTTTCCAAAAAGCTTTCGGTAAATCATTTTATTTATTTATTCATATAATGTTTACTAATTGTTTAAAATCAATAATTAAGCTTTGTAATTATCAAAGTAAATGGCAAAAATAGTAACAATAATTAAAGTTATTATTATCTAGTGTCAATTTACAATAAACTGGCTTAGTTTTGTTAACAATAAAAATATTTAAATCATTTCCTGTTCAATTTTTCATATGATTTTTGAAGGTAAATGTAAGCGGTTGGAGATATCTAGATATTTCATTAAAAAAATTTCAGGCAATACTTAACATTGCTTTGTGTTTTAGACTTATGCGTGGCCATTCTATAAGCCTGTGGATGCAGAATTGTTGGGGTTACACGATTACCACGACATAATAAAGAAACCGATGGACCTGGGAACTGTTAAACAAAAGATGGACAACAGGGAGTACCGTACCGCACAGGAGTTTGCAGCGGACGTGCGGCTGATCTTTACCAACTGTTACAAGTACAATCCTGAAGATCATGACGTTGTTGCAATGGCGCGAAAACTGCAGGACGTCTTTGAAATGAAGTAAACAGTCTGCTATTAAATAATGATTTATTCTCTAATGAACGAATTATTTCTGTAGGTTCGCAAAGATTCCAGACGAGTCCCTTCAGAGGGTGGGAGGCAGTTCATCGACCAAGTCAGATTCTAGTTCATCAGGCTCAAGTTCAGACTCATCCAGCGACACAGAAGACTCAGAAGAAGAGAGGCGGAACAAACAATTGAAAATGTTGGAAAAAGAAGTGAGTTGCACAAGATTTCAGTAACAATTGTTAATTATTAAATAATATTTATTTATTCATTTGTAGTTGATAGCGATGCAAGAAAAGATGCGCAAGTTGGTGGAGGAAAGCGGGAAAAAGAAGAAAGCGAAAAAGAAAGCAAAAGAAATAGAGAAGAGCAGCAAAAAGATGGTAGCAAATAGTAGCGCATCCGCGGGAGGCGGAGGTGGCGGTGGATGTAGGAAGGCGATTTTAAATTAAAAATTCTTAATAAGTACCTTGATACGTACAATTTTATAACAATTTGTATTAATCAATTTTTTGCTAAATATTAGTTTTGATTGTTACAATATGTAAATGGTTGCCTTACCTGTAGCCATTATTATTCCAAACTAACTCCTAAACAGTAAATTGTTAATTGGAATACATAATTAAATTAGAACCGTATATTTCTTAAAATTATGGTGTATCAAACTTAAAAATTATCAAAGAAACTTTAATGAAAGTTAAGACATATTTAGAGAGAGACAATACGATAATTACTTGAGCAAAAATTAAAGAATAAAGACAGAAACAGAACCATGGCTTGTGGTTAGACAAACCCCACCCATGATAAACCCATTAAACATGTTTGTGTGTGTAAAGAACGTACCATCATTGTCTAACGGTATTGTATATACATGTGTGTGTATGTATTCACCTTATTCCGT